AAAAAAAAGTCCATACTCATTTTTCGAGTCAATTCGTCATTCCACCACGATACCTCTAACAAACTTCAAAATTTTGAGGTTTTATTATTTTACATATTCTAGAAAAAAGTTACATATTTTATTATTTCAATTTGAACCTCATATTTAAATTTAGAAATTCTTAAAATTATTTTTTTGTTAAAGAAATTCTTAAAATTATTAACCAACCACTAACTGAAACAAAAAACTTTAACTCGTGAGCAACTTTCTTTTTCTGATATGGAACTCGTGAGCAACTTTTACTTTTCTCATATTCTTATATATCTAGAGTTTGTTTTTCTCGTGAACCTATGTTACGTCTCTATTATCTTTATCAGAATATTTCATAAAATAATCCGGCTATAGATGGACAGATATGCAAGTCAGCAACTTTATCACCCATCTTCCATCGATATGTTATTGATGACTAAGAAACCAACTTATATATCATTTTATATTCTTATACTTACGAGTTTTTATATATAAAGAATTATGACTGAATTCAAGGGAGTACTATCACTATCCCATTTAATAACAAAACAAAAACTATTCATTCGGTTTTAGAAAGAGCGACGTTTAAACATTGTAATTATCAAGTAATATGCTTTACAAAACGATTACACCGTGTAGATATGATTCATGTTGATATATATATATATGCCTTAAATTTGATTACATGGTATTCGCGATAATCCGTCGGTAAAAGATGTTTTTTATATGTTTTTTTATGGGTCGCAATTTTAATTAGCTTCAATTCTCTTTTTGAGCTTTTACTAGCGGATGCAATCAATTTTTTTTATTTTTTTTAAAAGATGCAATTAAATTAGGTTAATTAAGAATGTGTTTAATGAATATTCTTCTAATTAGTGTTTTACGTTTTCAGTAATACAAATATTCCACACAACATACAAATACTATACGCACGAAATATATGGGTTATAAACAACAACAAAACTTTGTAATAATATTGGATTCAAATATATTAGATCAACTGATTCAAGTTCTAACAATCATTTTCATATACACATCAAAATAAAATAAAAAGCTAAAAAAAAATCTAAAAAATATTATGAGTGTTTGTTAGATTCTCCCACGCGTGGATCAGAAATCAACAAACGTATTGTTTTCAGAACACTCGTGCGGTAACGGTAACGGTAACGGAAACGACGACGTTCTCTGTTTCTCGAAATATTCCTTTATACCAAACCCATTCACCGTTACACTTGCCGTCAATTCTCCGTCATCTTTTAACGGAATAAACGGAGGTCTTAAAACTTCCGTTAACATGTCCCACTTCACTCCCCTGAAGAAAGCATGCTCCTTTATCTCCTCTGCTCCTCGCCGGAAACCTAACCTCCTCATCGGATCTTTCACCAGTAACCGTCCGATCAAATCCGTTAAATCCGACGGTTTTCCGGCGAACTCAGGTTCCTTAATCAACACGTTACGAAAAGTCTCCTTTTTGTTTCTTCCCTTGAACGGTGTCTCTCCGTACATCATCTCGTACGTTAAAACTCCGAGAGCCCACCAATCGACGGCGAAATCGTGACCGTCTCCGCGAATTACCTCCGGCGATATGTATTCGTCGGTTCCGACGAACGAATTCGATCTCTCTCCGCCAGAAAAACTCAGTCTCCGCCGTGTAATCGGGTTAACCCGAGCGGATTTTGATTTCGTCTTCTTAAACCGGGTAAATCTTTTCCGGTTTAGATCCGGTTCGATTTCCGGGTCGGAGTGATGGAACTCGGGTCGGGTTGGTTTATTGAGACAACAAGAGAGATCGAAATCGGTTAAAGTGACGTGACCGGAATCTTGAAGGAGAATATTCTCTGGTTTTAAGTCTCTGTAAGCAATCCCTATGGTATGAAGGTGGTCAAGCGCACAGAGGATCTCAGCTAAATAGAATTTAATAACGGAGGAGCTAAAAACGCCGTCGTTTTGACGGTGACGGAGGACGTTTAGATCGCCGCCGGAGCAATACGGTGTTGCCCAGGCGAAGAATTGAGGGGTTTCTGAGGAAGATAAGAGACTTGGGAGAAATGGGTTTGGTTTTTGGTCGTCGGAGAGTCGCCGGAGGATTTGAAGTTCCCATTTTGCACGGCGGAGAGAAGAGTCGGAGGATTTGTCGACGAGTTTTAGAGCGAATGGAGAAGAAGAAGCAGAGGAGTCGGAAACAGAGTCGTGGACGAGGAAGACTGTTCCGGTTGCGCCTTTTCCGAGGAGTTTTAGAGCTTTGAGTTTGTCGAGGTCGAGATTTGTCGCCGGTGAAA